ACGCAAAGGCACGGTCGTGCATTGTCTATCTCTGGAAGCAAAGGCTGCATTAAAAACCGAATTGAGAAGGGAGAAGACATCAGAATGCTTTTCTTTACCGATGCCGACAGGCTTTATTTGCTAACTAGAAATCTCGGCTTACTCGAGTCAGTCAGAAAGTATAGCAACCTTTTTTTCTACTGAAATAAAATTAGTGAAGTTAAAAGTTGTAAAGTGACTGTTCCTTAATCCTACTTCTACAATAAACCGCAGAGGTGACTTTCTGCGTCAACATGTGGAAGCACAGCAAGTGTTTGAAAAACGGCCGTCATCGATTCTCGTAAGGGACACCTTCTTTGATTGAATTCTTGGATGCAGAAGGTTAAATACGCATTCGCATTCGCGAAAGACTGAAAAATGTGTATGTCGCGTGAAGTGAATGCAGTCACCGACCTGCCGCTCCGATGTTGTCAGCCAACTGTGTTTGCCCTTCAGCTTCGTTGCAGCGACGAGACCATCGTCCAACAGTGCTGTCATCCACTGTTGCATCACTTAACGCATTTTTTAGTTGTAGCAGGTTTGAGGAATAGTGCCAAATTCAATTTTTCACTTAACTCATTAAGAAAAAAGTAGGAAGCATTACTGTCTGCTTGACCTACGTACTTCTGAGTATGGTCTTTAACCGAAGGGAGTACCATATTTGGGGAGTAGTCCTTTTAATGACAGCTCACTGTATATGATATACCTTATTTAGTGCTTGCGACAACACGAGTGCAAAGATCGAAAAATATAATTCCGTTTTCACTGACGCCATTTCAAGAGCAGCTTTCTGTACGACATACTATTCGCCACCGCAGTATTCCGTACCACATAAACAATGGCGCCAGCTTACGACCTACTTCAAATTTAATCCCTGTTACTTGGAGCCACTGAAGATGGGATGATGTAGTCCCAAAACATGTGGATGCCCTTCGTGTTATTTTGATTAAATTTTATATTTTAATACTATTTTCTGGTTGATAACTCCGCAATCCGTAATTAATAATTATGGTGTATTATAGAGTGAGTATTACAAAAAAGCTTCATATAGTAAGTTCTGTTAATAATGATAATAATAATTATTATTATCTAATGAAATGAAATAATATTTATAACGGTATACTCGATTTTTTATTTCCTCGCTCTTACAACGATACTTTATAAGAAGAGAAAGTTATGCAATCGTACGTCAGAAAACAGCGAATTTTCGGCAGTAAAACTAATTTCCCTGGCCCTGGTAAAGAAAACGTGAATAAATTCAATTGCTGAATATATAAAAGTCTCTAGCACGTAATTTAGGCAGAGACACTTTTTGTGGGTCCTTGATACGGAAAAATTCGTTGATGGCAAGATGTCCGTCTGTCTGTCCATCCGTCTGCGGTCAACCCAAATGCCTTAAGCGTTCAGCCAATTTTTTCCCAAATCGATATTCTCTGATCAATCTGAACGAACGAACGAATCAAACTAGAGGCTTTGGGAGTTTCAAATGGATATTTGGATTTTTGAGAGTTCTTTAGGTAAAGTCTGAAACATTTTCAAAATTCTCAAAAATGGCTCCATTTTTTAAAATTTAACTTTGTTCTCGGATAACGTAAAGAATGCTTAAGAGAAAGATGCAGGACTCATGTTCATCAAAATCCCTGATTTTTCGAAAAAGCAAAAGTGTTTTTTGCAAACGTGTATTTTTTTGTAGCTTTGATACTACAATATTGACGATAATAGATTTTTTTAACGAAATCTGTTCTTTGAAAACAGATCTTGAAATATGGTCAAGTTCACTTTTTCGAAAAGATGAGTTGTTTTCATGTAATTTTGCGCAAAATTAGGCAATTTTGATTTTTTAAATAAATTTTTCTAAAAAAACCGCACCAAGTGGTTTTTTAAATTTCTCCTCGTATGTATCATGTGACGATAAAAATATGATGCTAGTCTCAGTTTTGGTGGTATCTGTATTTTCAAAATGTTAGCATTTCAAAACTACAAAATTGGAGATAGATACTTTTGTCGTAGACAAAACCTATTGGTAAGAAATCAGATCTTTAAGAAATATCAAGGGCAATTTTTTACAAAAAAACCTGTAGATTTTGCCTAAATCGTGCTTGAAATTTATGCAATTTCTAAAAAAAATGTTTCTTAAAATTCCCTCCCAATTTTTTTCTTAAATAAATTTTCTCCTCAGGGGATGGTAAAAAAGATATGGTGCTAGTCCCATTTCCAACAAGCACGCCGTATTTTCGAAAAATGCAAAAATTGCCGAAAATGACAATTCAAAACGACAAGCCTGAGTTTGACAGTCACTACGTTTTATAGCATAGATGTAAGGTTCATCGCGAAATAATCGGAGCACCTTAGTTTCAGTCTCGGCGGGGAAAAATTGCTGGTTGAAAACACTTTTCAGTTGTACCATAGAGAGTTTGTGCAGCCTCGAACATTATACAATCGAAAGCACTATCTCCTGCGCACGCGTAGTTCGAGTTTTGCACCACGTTTGGGCATATGCGCATGTGCAGTAGATAGAGATTGCAGTCCATTGCTATGTGCTAAAGCGTGAACAAACTCTCTAATGTACCGGGGTAGTTAGAAATAATGGGAGAACGTGTGTGCAGTTTTAGGTTCACAAGTTTCAAAATTAGTTTTTAAGTAGAAGTGCTTTAGATGAATTTCAATGAAGTTACACGAAAACGTTTCGGACAAACCAGAATTTGCTGTGAAAATGAGCTCAATTTGCGCAATATCAGAAACTCTCAAACGTTTTCTCAAAAACGGGTCCAAATTTTACAGAAACCATTTTGAAAATCTAACTTAATCTTCTATAATATTCTCTAAGTCCTATTTCAATTCTACCATTAGGAAACCGAAACATAAGAAAATATGAAAAGAATCCTTTAGACGGCAATAGATGACAGCTGGAAAGGCAGGGGGGCTTACCTAGACTAAGAGAGAATAGAAAACCAATTAGTACCAGAAAGTGTGTGCAATTTTGTATCATCACTAGTTCGAGTTGTGTCAGTGTAGTAGCTTATGAATGATATGTCTGTTTAATGTAATGAACTTGCAAATTATATTTCTTCTTTTCGAATGAATAGATTGAACCGTTTAAATGTCCGTTTAAAAAATAATAGTTAATAGATTGAACCGTTGAAAAAAACGTCTAAAAGCAAGTTTCAGAAATTTAGCGTCGTAGTATATATTTTAAATTTTCATTTCAATATCTTCCGAATCGTGAAAGGGATATCTTTTACTGGGAATGGGGGATGTTTCCTAGAAAGAAAACGTTTGTCACCATCATTTATTCATAACATATATTTTATCAAGAAAAAGTAAAATGTTACCATCAATCCGATAAGTTCTCCCAACAAGTGCGCTTTCCTTCGAGTTTAATTTGTAAGGAAGCTTTAAGCTTACCCAGATCTATCAGCAGCTGAAATATACGTACGATCTTACGTCTCCTCGCCAGAGACGAGGATTCATCCTGATGGAGTGATGTGACGCATGAAGAATGGAAGAAAAAGGCACGAAAAGTAAAAGAAAATCTCTATAATGGAATGACATAGTTCAGCCGCAAAATGCGTTGCTAGACATGTAACCCCGCGTTCAATTTGTCGTAATCTTTGTTCACCCGCATTCGCTTTTGTGTCCCCACACACTTCTTCATTAGTCTTCTTCAGATTTCTTTCACTCACTCATGAATAATTTCTATAATGTGATCTTTTAAAACGAATGAATATTTAATGAGTTTGTTGAGAGTGGCAATGAAAAGTTAGAGACACAATGTGAATAAATTTTTAAATATTATTTCATTAGAATATACACTAATATTAAATAAAGCAAATAAAACAATCTCATTCCAGCTATTAAGAGTGTTGCCATCTTCACACCTTCTTAGCTGAAAGAAAAAATAAAAAAATAGCTAATTATTATAAATTATTATATTTGGGTGTTTGGGGATATATTTATTATGTAATGGGGGATGTAATTATGTGATGGAGAATTTTAAGGTTTGTGCCTGCCAGTGTTTTATGATAAAACGTATATTTTTGAATAGTGATATTTCCTTACAAGAACAAAACAGTTATAATAATTAAAATATTTTAATAAGAAAAATTATGTACATGCATGGCACAAACAATAATAATGTAATAATAATAAAAGATACAATAATGATGACAATAAAATAATTAATGTAGTAATAGAAATAAAAGAATTAATAAATTATACACATATTTCTCATTTACTTAACATAAAATGATTTACAAATCAAAGAAAATAAAAGTTAGTAGTTGGAAATAATGAAATACATTTACTAATCTGTGTGTAACTATAACTTTTGTATCTTATTACAATGTTCTCACAAATAAAAATTATTAGTTGAGTTCTTTGTTTGCACAATGTTGTTTTGGTCAGAAATGTTATAGTTATTTTCTAATTAAATCTAAATTAGCTGATATGAAAAATATTTTTTACATTTGTTACTGACTACACTGGAGCCTAGTTTATTAATTTGGTAATGAAAAAGTTTCAAAATACATTTTATATAGCACATTTGGCACATAAATATATTGAGAGAATGTATTTCAAGATCATTCATTTCTTACATATATTATTACTGATATTAGATTCACTATTTTAAAATCTATAGAGACAAAACCAATTTTTTTAACATGGAAAGGACAGTTCGTCGCTGAATAAAGGGAACAAATTTTAATATTTCATGCAAAGAAATCTCGAGTTTCGAAACCGTTTGGAGGCAGTACGTAGTACCCGAGTTTCTGTTCGTGAAATATGGGATCTTCTCGCAATGTATGGTTTCGTTTTCTTTGGCGTTACACTGTAGCCTTGGGCGTTAATGTAAATACCGAAATATTCTTAAAACTTGTTGGAAGCTGCTCTATATAATAGAAGTAAAGGTATGTTTGATTAATACGAAAAATGATCATTTCATTACCTAACCCTGAATATGTTTATTGCGAATTTATTATTTTATCTGACAGATGCCGCAAAGATGTTCCGTATCGGAGTTCTAATCAAATTATGAGAGTTTGCTGAAGGCAGAGGAAGGAGCTGTAATCACATTCCAATTTCCAAATGGGAGGAATTAAGAAAGATGTGGGCTTCTGTGATTCCTGGGGTGCACTGGGGACCAACCAAGGGGTCGTTTGTTTGTAAAAGACACCTCGCAGACAGCGACGTTTTTCGTTTACATCCATACAATTTGGAAGATGGAACAGTTAAACAAATACCCCTTGCACATCTTACGCTCCGGGATAATGCTGTTTCTTCCACATTCAACGGTGCAGCTTCGTATCTTTTAAAGGTAGCCCCCACATCTGGAAAAGATCCCGCAGAAAGGAGACAGGATGTCGATAATAATCAAGATAAGAGAAATGAGTTTCTGAAATCAGATATCATCTGTGATTATGAAGACTTTGTGGGGAATATGAAGGCTAAATTTGATAATGTACAATGATGGAATTTGAAAGAGGGAAAATATTGTACATGGCTGTAAATATTGTGAATAGTTTTGGTGATTTTTCCAATTCTTTGATGGTTCTATCCTTCCCAGCATCTCTTTCCACTTTCTAAGGACTTACATGTTATTACCCACTAAAAGATACATCAAACATATATCGTCATCTTTGTGAGTGGAGCCTGACAGTGAAGGCTCGAAAACAATGCGATATTTAAATCATATCACCCAAGCTTTACGTGAAAGAGAACGTTAATTGCCTTTTAGTAGATGAAATTTATATTAGTTGTTTAAAATTTAAATCACAGTCACTTGTTTCTCCTGCAGAAAATATCAGTTCTTCTACTAATTTATTTGAACGAAGATTCTCTGCCAAAAGCTGTTGTTATTTCAAGGAAATATCCAGAAAGTTTTTACAATAGATACAACAATGGAAATTTCTTTCTCTCTATATAAAAGATTGACTGTCCGTTGACAGATTTTCTGCCTTGGAAAAAACACAAGGGTCCTATTGAAAATTATAGTCAGTTTTATGCTAATTGCATTATAAATAAATATATAATGCAGGGTTATGATTGATCTGAAGACAAAACAATAAATCGGGACGTACAGGTTAGATTCGCGCCAATTTTTGGCGCTGATGCTTCAAGAGGGGGAAGAAAACGTGTACAGAATATACAGGCTGACATACTGGTGACATACTTGGTGGCTCAGAGCGAAGTCACTTGCCTTTCCCCAATGAAGTCCGGGTTCCATTCCCGTCGATTCCCAATCTCATGTGAAGTTTGTTCCAACAAAACAAGTTTGGATGCTTCACAAAGCTAGTCCCACCCGTGTGAAGTGTCCTAAACCCTACCCCTATCCTAATTCCTTCCCAATTCTGGCCGCTTGGTAGTGACGCAGGAGCGCGAAAGAGAGAGGCGCGTACGCGGAGATGCTATCTGGCGGTCCCCTTGACAACTGACTGAGACGAGACGTGACATGACGGCCTATGTTAATTAATGGAGGATTACTCCAAAAGTGCGAAGCGCCTAACGCCTCCCAAGGCGCGTAGAGACGCGTTGCGTCTCCGTAAACGCCACAAATTAAGATAAAAAAAGACGTCTAAGCCAGTTCATGCCCAACAGGCGATGCCGACTTCCTTAGAAACCTAACGGTAGCCTTTTTTCGTAGATTTAAGATGATTATATTTGAAATGAATATCCTTTGGATGGTAAATATAAAATTAATCTAATAAACTGAATCTACCAAAGGATGATAGTTTCTGCCAAAATAAGTAATTTATAGTACTTGGACGCATGAACTGACATATATCGAAATGCAAAAGGAGGTCCGATACGATATTGAGAGATTTTCCATAACTTTTATCACCTCAGTGTATAAGAGGATTTAAACAATGATCTAACGTAAAAAGATTGAATACATTGGCTCTGAGGAAATATTTTCTCACCAAACGAAACTATTGGAGATACAACGTCTCATTTCACATTATTTGTTTCGACTACCCAATATTAAAACATTACTTGTAAAAGTGAACTTGTAAACATGAACTTGTAAAAGTGATCAGCAAAAATTCACTTCGTGCTGCGATTAGAACACATATTCTTCACGTCAGTACGCCAAAGTCTGTTAGCACTACTCTACAGTTCACACACTTTTACTCAGCGTTTCCAACACTTCATAAAAAGTAATCCCTCGCATAACTTCTACCTTATGCAATTTTCCAAAATTCAGCGACTACAATTAAAATGAGCCCACAAAAATTGGGATAAACATATTTTAAGAAAAATATAAATTGCATTACATTCAACTAGAAATTACGTGAAAACTGAGTTGTTCACTTTCTCGTACATACTTTGTAAGAAGAGAAAATATTGTAATCTTGCGCCAGAAAACGGTGAATTTTCAGCAGAAAAAGTTTTATTGCAAGGCCCAGGTACCAAAAAACTGAATAAATCCTGTTCCTATATATAGTACACTGCATTCTCTAACTCGCACTGTAGCCAGAATCCATGTTTTCTGGGTCCTTCCGTCTCCTCTGTCTGTCCGTCCGTCAACTCTAGCCCCTAAACTGTCCAGCCGATTTTCTCCAAAACTGATAATTCCCGATCGATCTGAACGAACTCAAGGCTTTGGGAGTTTCAACCGGATATTCTGACAATTGAGGCTACTTTCAACGAAGTTTCAAAAACATTTAAATAACTTTCTCAAAAATGGCACCAACTTTTTTGATTTAACTTTCTCCTCGGATAGCGTTAACAGATTTTATTCAAGAAACTATCGCTTTTCCAACGGCACATACTTTCTCACATTACTTCTTACATTTTCTATTTTCAAAATATTCAGAGAGTTCAACAAAAATGAGAATTGCACCATGATTTTAAGCGCCCCTTCTTCTACATGTGAAAAAATAAGAAATAAAAAAATTGATAAACTGCATTAACTTCTAGTAAAAATTGTTCGAAAACTACTCGTTTCCTTTATAAAGAATTGTTCCTGACGTTTTTTAAAAGATTTAATTTTTGAGAACAAATTTTATTCAAGACAAAAATGTTTTGTTAAATATCGTAGTTACGCAATGTTAATATTTCCAATTGTTGAAAATACAGAGAGTTCACCACAAATGTGACAAGAACATTACTGTTACTATACATTTTACTGTTCTTTCATGAATGAGAGGAAAAATATAAAGAAAAAATAGAAGCCCTTTCTCAGGGAATCATTATTTAAGACTGGTCTATATTTCACGCAAAATTACGCAAAAATGAGTAATTTTCAAAAATTTGTCCCTTACCTTATTTCAAGATCAGTGTGTGAGCAAATAGTTCTTACAGGAAAAATATTTGTTTTCAATACTTTGTCAGAAGAGGAAGTATTGTAATCGAGCCCATGAAACTGCGATACTTTTCCAGATAAAACTTTTATTGCCGAGTGCCAGCAACGAAAAAGTGGGTAAATCTTCTTGCAGTATGAAGTACACTCCTTCTCCTAACATGTTGTGAAGTCAGATCAATGCTTTGTGGGTTCTTAATATCAAAAAAGGTGATTGACGGCGAAGCATCTGTCCGCCCGACCGTCTATTTCTGGCAACGCCAGCGCGTAAACCGTTTAGATGATTTTCTCCAAAATTAATTTTCTTCGATTGATTTAAAGGATTTCTAGGCATAGTGATTTTTAAATTAATATTTGGAATTTTGGGGGTACGTTTCACGAAGTATCAAAAACATTTTCAAAAGTTTCTTAAAAATGACTCCAATTTTTTTATTAAACTTTGTTCTCGGATAGTGTAAGCTACGTAGAAAAGAATATCAATGTCTCATTTTCATTGAAATTCCGTTTTATTTCAAAAATCGCAAAAGATCAAACTTTTTCGACGTCATCCTACAACTATAATAATGATCGTAGAGGTTTTCCGTTTTAATGAAAGCTTTTGTACGAAAACAGTATTTTTTGTACAAAAAATATAACATTTTGCAAACTGTGAGTAGCGTTTACATACTTTCGTATGAAACCTAGGCAATATTTAAACAACTGTTTTCTCAAAAACGACTTTAATTTTTTATTAAATTTTCTCTTTATTAAATTTAGGACGGCAAAAAATTGGTGTATTTAGGGTAAACTCTGTGTTTTCGAAAATTGCAAAAAGTTAACATTTCAATACTACAAAGTTGAAGAAAAGATTTTTGCCTTAAATAAAATATATTCTAAAATGTCGACTTTTTCAAAAAGCCATGTACAAAAACCGATTTTTTTAATACAATGCATTAAAAGCTCATATTCTTAAAAACATCTCCAACCTTTATTTTCCCGTATACGTACGTATATATGGAGTAATATATGTAGTATAGGGAAAGTTATGTAATGCTGCGGAAAACAGATTTCGAGATTTCAACGGAAATAGACGTTTTGGGGTCCTCTGATACCGATAAAGTTTTTTTTCAAAACGTCTGTCTGTTCTATGTGAACAACATTAGTGCAAATTGAAGAATCTCCTGTCTTTTTGACCTGAGTCACAGCTCTGAGATTTCGAAAATTATTCATTAGTTTTGGGGAGAACTTTACATGAAGACCCCAGGACATTTTCAAAATTTTCCCAAAATGGCTCCAAATTTTTTGTTTAAATTTCTTACAAGAATAGAGTAAAATGCACTTATAAATGTGGCATAGGTCCGATTTTCACGGTTAACTATGAATTTTCGAAAATTTCAAAAGTTTGAATGTTTTTCGAGGTGTTTCTATAAGAACAAAATTAAAGATAGAGTTTTTTCCTTCTAATAAAATTTGTTGTTCATAATTTGTTCTTTCATTAAGGCCATGTACATTTTTTTGAAAATTTTAGTAATATCTCTCGCAATTTGTGCAATTTAAAAAATACTAAAACAAGATCTTCTCAGAATCCACTTCAAATTTTTTCTTTAAAATTTTGATACGGATGATGATAAATGCACTCCATAAGATGACCGAAACGCCATTCTGCTCTATTCTGTTATATTTTTAATTACAAAAATTATGTATTTGTCGTGTTTCACGTCGTTAATATTTACATTAGCAGCAATTTGTTTACATTATTATATTTTTGAGTACAAGTGCTTTAAACATGCATGTCAATATTCGGGTAAATAGAAATGTTACTTAAATATTCTCCCAAAATCAACCGTTTTGGATCAAAAATATCTCAAAAGTTCTCAATTTCAGAAACGCTCAAATGCCATTTTATCAAAAACGGGTCCACATTTTTTCTTCAAACTTTTCTAACGAATATTGCTAATTGCACTCTCTAATATGATGTAAAGTTCATTTGGTTTTTTAAAAAACACACAAAAATAATTTTTTTAATATTTCTCACAGGGTTAATTTGCACATTTTCAGTAATTTGTAAAATTATTTTATTTGTGAGTTAATGTGCGTGTGTTAACGTTCCTGTGAAAAAGAGCTTCAAATTGCAAATTTACAGTAGCGCTTAAAAGCAATCTTCTTAAATACGGCTCCATATTTTTAAAGAAAATTGCCATTTAAGACGCGGTTTTACTGTTATTTAGTATTCTTAAAATAATATTTCCATTTTATTATTAGGAAACTGAATATGTAAGAAAACTTAAAAAATACACTTTGGGCGACGATCGATGGCATCAGGCAAGAGTGTGTGTCTAGTTCGAATAGCTAGTCAAGACCAAAGGAAATAGAAAACTAATACGGAAAAGTCTGTGCCATTCTGAAGCCCCACTACTTTAGGTTTAAATTTTATCTCCCTTTATCTCCCTCACACCCTCCCTAATCTCCGGTCAACTCGCAAACTGCACCTCGATACCATGACGCATCGCGCCTTCAGAAACATTGTGTTACCCTCACAGTCAAAGTCTTGAAACTATGACAATCTATTAGAACCCACGGTCATCTCATTCCATATTACCGAATTTATAAATTCTTCCCGAAGACAGATACCGCTGAAAAAGTAGTAGTGGTGTAGTAAAGCAATCATAAACCAATCTATTATCATGTTTCTACCATCCCCAACTCTCCTTACGAAATCATTCACCTTGTCGTTCAACTCTCCGCCGCTGCTACTCTCTACATTACTTCTGTTAGTAAGCCTCCTAATATTCCTTTCAAGCTAAAATCAGTATATGCATTTTCCTCAAAGGATAATCCACTCTCTTATTTGGATTCGTCAATGCTAAACACATTGTTTGGGATTGCAGTATTGTCAGTAGTCCTCTTGTACATGAAATATACAACCCCAACCTTAACATCCATGCTCCGGAGTCTCCAACTCGTTACCCATCTATCCGTTGTCAATCTCAGGAGCACATTGATTACGGAATCTCGCAATTATCTTCAAACTAAGTACACCCTATTGAGTTATTAGTCCTTACCTTCCTATAATCTAAAGAAAATCAATGGCTCTTCTTTCAAACAATGCTAAATCGATTTATTACCTCCGGAATAATTCAACCAACTAGCAAAATTGATGAAGGGATTAATTTACTAAATCAATCAATACTTGGATTATCTCATTATCAATAAAAACAAATTTCCACATTCCATCCATTTCCAATAATTTACATAAACGTAAGTAATAAACATAATTTACGTCTATCGTAAGAGAAGAGTTCAGAACTACTACCATCGTCATCCATATTTATTCTCCCCTTCTCTCTCATTTCGTTCTCACCCATCATCTCTTCTCTCCTTAAATCGCGTAATCAATATAGTATGTAGACAATTCGTTTTATCACATGCAGAATATTTTCATAAACAAATTCATGGAACACATCCCTAGCGTCCTCACTTTGGATCCTCATATGCAGACAATGAAGAAAGGCCACTTTGCACCGTTCACCATGGGTGCGTACGGATGATTTTTGAAACTAATAGAAACTTGTGAATGAGTTGGGTCGAGCCAGTGCTCTTTTGTGCGGAAATTGTCATTTCGACCGTTCCCAAACATTCCTTTGATAGCTCACTAATCTAATTCTTATCAACGAATCTTTTATTAGCACGAAGGACCACACAGGCATTTATAATAATATAATTGGTTAACTGTATAAATTGAATAAGTAATAATAAAATAAGTAATAATAATGTAAGTAATAATTACAATTAGCTTTGCTTGCACTGACAACTTGAATATGATCTTTGAAATACTTTGGAAAACCACTTAGTAAGAAAATTACCGTAAATGTTTTTTAAATAGATTTTTGACAAAATAACAACACATGAAATTAAATTAGGGCTGAAAATAATTCATGAATTGGACTTTATAAAGTGAGCTCCGGACTGGAGCTTTCATTGATATGTAATTTTGTGCTTATCAATTTTTTCCAACTGATTGTATAATATGACTAGTGATGTACAATAATTATAATATGCATCGTATATTTTAGTTCATCTGAAGGTGGATTTAAAGATTAAATTCCAAAACATTGCTGAAAGTAGAGTAAAAACTGTTGTTTAAACTTTTTTAAACCATTCATTTATGAACAATTGTGATCTGAATGCTCTTTATTTAAAGACTCTAATATTAATTAATTCAAGTTTAAGGATATTCATTTATTCAAAAATAAAAGGTTATTACTTAACTGATACAAATAATACGAGAGGAGAAAGTAGTTTGTAGGAGTTTGAGACAAACTGATACCACAGGACGAAAGTAAGTCGTTTTTACTGTGTTCACTGTGTCACAACTACTAGTTGCATTTATTATCAGTCTAATTAAATTATCTTTGCTCCACTTTTCTGAAAAACGAAAATAGACATGCATTTGCAATAAAACAGAGAATATATTATGTACTAAATGTTTAATATATACAATAGCCCACTGAACACTATCCTGTGTTCCACAAACGAAGAGGAATTTTGTAAAAGTGAATTAATGAAGGATTCCAGAAAAAATATATATAACTATGAAAAACAAGATTGGTTAAATCGTGTAGTTAATTTTATTCTACTTCAGCATTGAGGTTTCTAGATATTTCAGTGTTTACATTTTCCTCAGGAAGGTTTCTTTTTGTGAACTATTGTGTATACTTTTGCATTCTTTCTAGTTACTTACGAAAAAAGAAATCTTGCCTATTTTCACTATTCCCAAGCATCCACATCTGCCCAGTCGTCTTCATCTTCCTCCTCATCCTCCTCTTCCTCTTCTTCATCGTTTTCAATAAGATTCTCGTTTTCGGAGAATCCGTCGTCAGAGTACTCTGGGTCATCGTCGCCGGCAACGGTTCCGTCTCCAATGCTGGGGTTGTCTTCGGACTCTTCGCTCTCAAACTTGTCTTTCTTCACGATGTCGTTCATAGCACGCGGCGCAACGTTTAAGTACAGACTGTGCTGTGCAGGAGGCGAGGCCAGATATGCCGACGAGAGGGGCGGTGGAGCGGGGCGGCGTGGCAGCAGTGTGGTGCACGTGGGCGCCCGAGGTGGAGGAGAGCAGACGACGACGCCTAGAGAGCCCGGGCGCTGGGTCGGGCGAAGAGACTGTGCGTTGGAGGCCGGCGGAGTGAAGGTTTCCGGCAGCAGCTCAGAAATAGCTCCTTGGATGTTAATTGGATGACATATATTAAATCTTGGAAGCGCATCTACAATAAGGAGTACTGTCAAGAATCTAGATCAGAGTCATCTAATGTTTTCAGACTGACGTGCGCTACAATTCGACGGACTCCTATTCGCACTACCGCAAACAGTCCAGACAAATGGTGTCTTGGTCCGGGAAAAACATTTGGAAGGTTTTTCTCACCCGTTCTAAATGTATTTTGGGGTGCTGAATTCGAATTTAAATTTGCCACCTCGAGAAATGTCGGCTTCACAGAGAAATATACCCTTTTTTCATTTTTACACTTATATCTTCACAACAATGCGTTTTTTTATAAATACGGATATATAAAATCAAAGTAAACCAAATTTAATAAAAAATACACACATTACTTTTAGGTTTTTGACAATCGGTTTACTCGCTCCCTGTGGATAAAATGGGGGAAAAGTTCTTCCTCGCGCAACTGTCGCACAGCAGCGCTGTAGTTTCACTATTCGACGCTTTAAAACAACTATTATGATTGAATTAGTTACATTGTTCAATGACGAATGAAAATATATTTAATATAGTTTATAACTATTATAAATATATTTATCATAGTTTATGAGTTCAAATGTGCAATGTTATTCGAAGAGAAGTTACTTAATACAACGTAATGAACAAGTATATCATTTTGACTTGTTTCAAAGTCAAATTTTAGAAGGTCCAGGCAGGTCGAAAGTCACATTTGTTATGGTATAAATCTGCCATTGGGCTTTCAAATGTACAATACTACTAAGTCTTGCTTCATGAATTATTTTACTTTTATTTTGTAATTCAACCTGAGCATTTATAAAACAACCTGAGCAACCATACAACAATATCTTGATGTTTTTAATTCCCAAAATTAATTTGAATGGATTTATTTATTTGTCTCCGCGCGTATCCATGGCGAACGTTTGAGTTCCCGCGTACGGCCCGGACGGCGGGCGCTCTCTATGTGCCAGCTACCGAAGTCGACGTGGCGGTCCACGTTCCAATAAGCGCAGGCAGCGGCGCCTCAAGAGTCAAATCAGTTTGGGGTGTGTATTATTCGTTATAGTGCCCAAAGGGATTGAGTACCTGCTACGCCGACAACCCTCACCTCCTTGTTTAGGCTCTTTTGTAACTCTGGGGATTAGGCTACGTTTTGGACTGCTTCTGGTGAACGGTTACTAGCATTTGAACGTAGTTATTCTCTCCTGAACTTTTGATTACTTTGGCATTTTTTGGTACGAGTAAGATTTTGAAACATTGACAGGACACAAATAAACTGTTGTTATTTGTTACTTGTTTGGGTGGTTTTTGTTCATTTCATGCACGCTATGGCTCCCAGCATTGTTTCTTAGAGTGACCCTCAGGAAACGCCTCAACAACGGTCTCAGAAATATTCATCCATTAATTGAGGCATTCTTGGCTAAGTATATATGGAATATGATTAGATCTGGGAATTTTTGAAAATATAAATTTACCTTGGTTCTTTTACATATTGCAAGTATGTCATGAGCACTGTAGACTCATGTATTTCAGCTGGGATCGAAGCCGTGTTCTACAGGTTAAGGGATCAGTAAGCTAACCACTCATCCGCTGAGAACTGGGAAACACCACTTCCTTTATAAAAATATTTCTCAAACGCTTTAATTCGCCACTACTCCCCTACTATTAAACCAGAGGTAATATCTGAGTGAGAGAATAAACTTTAATGTGTCAACTCGCATAGTAGTACGTAATATTTTTTTCATTAAAACTTAAGTAATCACGCGAGGTATTTCGATACCCTAAAAAGGCAAAGTTTTTCTTTTGTTACTTCTCGTACACACGGTCACTTGCTTGTGTATTCGTTGATAAAGGTCTAAATATATATTCCATTTTCCCCCTTACATAGTACAATATTATGCAAGTTATAGTTTTCCAAATTTGCTTGGGGAATCTGCATTCCCCGTGCGAGCATCTTTATAAAAATAAAATAAGTTTGTTATGACTGATGCTGAAGTTCGGCAACCCTGCACTCTCCCTATACACGGAATTGGTGGTGGTGATCTAATTCTTTTTCGTGGAATGACAACTTCGTGACGAACAGTTTCTTCCGAAGAATATTTATTGCCATGGAACCTTTCACAGAAAAAGCCGGAGTTCGAGTGGAGTATAACATGTGGTGGTAACAAACTCTACCTTCAAAATTATAGTTACAGCAGGAGAGATTTTGCAGATGTATCGTCCCACAGTAAACATAATTATCACACGAAAAAGCATGCATTCTTACATCTCCTGGAAGAGCAGACATAGTACATATCTACGAACATCTCGTAGACACGAAGTCAAAGTCAATGTACATACAGTATGCTCTGATTGTTGACATGTGGATATCTTGTCTTCACGTCAGCGATTGGCAAAGAGTGATATACGTTTTCCTAGAGAAACCAATGCCGAAGCATATTATTTCAAAAACTGGACCATATATTGGTGATAGTGGACAATGTCCATTATCACTAAATTCAATTCATGAAATTGTTATTATCTGTTTCTCTTTTTTCGTTTCATACCTAAAATTTACTCTTTAGTTTTGTTTCTTTTGCTTGATAATGTGTCACATATTGGCAGAACATATTGTTGACACATAGTACATTATATGAACATCTTGTATTGTACAGAACGTACTGCCTTATATCTTTCTCATTTCCGTCATATTTTCGTAATCTAAGCCTGGGTTATACAAATACACTGAAAGACTAAACGGCTCTTACTGGTTCTGGGGCGAGTAGTGGGGAGTTAGTAATTTAACAATGCAAATAATTAATTCACAATAATCGTTTTTAAGTACGATTTAGAGAAACTAGAGCGTCGCAACGAAATAGTAGGGTGGAAGAGGGCTTTTCTCTCTTTTTAGCCAGAAAGCCGAAATTCGACGTTTTTCAGCGCGTTCAAACGCCTGAACTCGAACATTTGAACTTAAATATACATTTTATAGGAAACATGGTTTACTTTAATTTTGTGTATTACAGTATTTTCAATAAAACGCATTGTTGCCAGATATAAGCAAAAACTGAAAAAAGTGCGATATTTTTGGGGTTTTGGAATTTTTTTTTTTTTGAAAAGTCGACTTTTCTCGATGTGGCAAATTTAAATCAAATTTAGCACTCCAAGAAACATAGAATCGGTGCGAAAATATCGCCGTAATTTCTTCTTGGATTGGGCCAATTGTTTGGATTGAAAATGAAGGTGACGTTTACTCAGACACTTCGTATATATGTACTAGAGCCATCTGAAAATTTGTGATTTTTTGTAGCAACTTAAGCGTCTTCATTTACACAACGGGCAAGACAAAATCAACTAAGGAAGATAAAGGAAAACTGAACAAGAAATCGTAACAAGAAAATAATGAATCAGAAAAATCAAGTGACAATAAATGAAAAAATAAAATAAAAATGCTCATCAGGTGGCCAGCATGGCATGAACAGCGTGCTGGCTTTTCGTTGTTTGATCCCGGGTTCGATTCCAATAATAGAATGGTAGCTTTCCATTTCAATCGTCTTAGTTTCAATAGATGTGCGACGAATGAAATGCTCAGAAAGACGAAGTGTGCTCAATAGGTGAAGGGAAAACGTCATGCTCACCAAATAACTCCCTTAACCCGAGGCGTGGAAAATAAGTAAAAACATACATGTCCATACTACTAGTCGGATTAATACAACCTTAAAACGCCAAGTACATAATATAAAAATAAAAATTAAATAAATTAAGATAAACATTTCACAGAATATATA